ACACCCAAGGAGGTCCAGTCACGCGAGCTAGAGCTAAGAAGATGCGTGAAGCTTTAAATGGCCTTATTGAGCAAATCTGGGTTGAAAACAACATACAACAAGCAAATCGAAGCTTGGATGATTATCAAGGCATGATAAACATCATTCAGGTTCAAGAGAAGCTTAATTGAGGTCATTTATGGTAAATTACCCACTTTGCGTCAATCTCGCAATTTTGTCGCAATTTGTAACAAACTGATATTTCATATTACTTTAGGCTACTTTTAGTGATTTTCACGTTTTTTATATTATTTTGGGCTGAACATTTATTTATTTAAGGCCCAATTCGTGGTTATTATGATTAGGGCTTAGGGTGTTAGTTTCCTATTCTGATTAGAATTACTTTTTCGTATTTAAAGGGGCTTGTAACCCTAATTGGGGAGGCTATTGAATCTGATTTTTTGAGAGACTTTTCTCTTTGGTTCGTTTCAAAATTTTACAGAACTTATCAAGATTATTCTTGTGGCGTTCTAACCTGACTTATCATTCTTGTTCTTAATCGTTCAAGGGTGTGGCATCAACCAACTTTATACCTCTGGTTCTTGTTGCGTCATAGACAACGGGTCAAGGTTTTTACCTTTGGTTCTTGTTGCGTCATAGACAACGGGTCAAGGTTTTTACCTTTGGTTCTTGTTGCGACATAAACAACGGGTCAAGGTCCTGTTATAAACCTGATTTAGCTTTCATGGAGTTTAGAAATCCCTTATTGTGCTGTGGGTCTCATTGTTCTCTTTGGGGTTCTCATCACAAAAGGAGAAGGAATTACTTCTCACTAAAGTTAAAGATTTAAAAGAGAGTTAACAAGCTTCAGTTGAAGCAAAGAAAAGGAGTGGTGATAAAGCTGAAAAAGAAGACTTTTACAAAAGGATTGAGTCAAAGATTTTGAACTAAATGTTGAGCAAAATAAATACATGAAGCTTCTTGATGGTCCCAATAGGTTGAAATTACAATATAACTACCTCCTTTGTAAGAGAGACTTTACTTTAGAGTATATGACAACACCACATAAATTAGAGAGTGAAAGGCGTCATCATAATTAAAATCCTCCATTACTTTCTGTTACTTAACCTTCTACTCTGAGATTGGCTCTTAATTTTATAGCTTTATGTTAATGTAAAGTTGATTATCCACTAACATAATTATTTTAGATACATTTAAAAGGCTATGATGAAATAATGTGTCTTAAAGATTAGTGGGAGTTAAACAATTTATTATTCTCACTTACTCAATGTATAATGTTAAGATTATGAATATGAGAAGGTTGCTTGATTGCAATAGAGAAACTCTTAGACACATGTGTTATGAATTATATGGAAAATAATTCTTGTAAAAGATGCAACTACATTTATTGAAGTTGATAAAGCCTTGTTAGTCTTGTATTTTTTCTGTGTTTGATCAAAGTTTAAAGATCATGTTATTTTGAGTAATGGATAATGGACGATTATTTCCATTAGAATATTTTATATTTGATGGTGTTAGTTATCTATATCTATATAGATAACTTGTTGATATAATTTGGTGGAAAAGATATATCCAAAGGTAATTATTGATCTACCTTATAAAGTAAGAGTAACATAAATGTGAAATTATGAATAATGATTATAGTCATGCATTATTGTGACTATATTAGCTAATTTACTAATCAAGAGATTTTAAGTTTGTTAGTTATCTATGAGAATTGTTTTAGATATTGTTGATCAGTGGGAGAAGTTGATTTCTCTGTTAATAATAAGTTTTATTTTACTTATTGTATCGCTTATTATTTTATAATGATATATGTGCATTGTACTAATGATTTTATGAGCTCATACAGATATTGATAATGAGATCTCAAGGTATAAAGCATAAAGGCTTTATAAGTGTAAAGACTTCATTTGAAGTGTAAAGACTTTCTAGAAAAGTGAGGGAGATTATCTCTTTGGTTTCTATAAAACCATAATAAAGTTTAAAGACTTCTTTGGGGAAGTGTTAAAATGATTACATTTTGCTAAAAGGGTTTCTTTGAAATGATAAAAGAGGATCGTTATGGTTTTGACATGTTATATATTATATGTATTACGTTATGTCAGACCATACTACACTTTATCATACCTATTGGAATTAATGTTGGTGGAGATATTTAATACTTGTGATTGTATGGGGTCTTATGTTATTAATGACATAACGACCGCACAATTCGGTATTGATATTTTCATTGAAAGGAATTCTGTATTGAGATTTTGATTTATATTTATAACTACTAAAATTGTGTTTGACCCAAGAATCATTTTTTAAATGTGTTTTTAAAATTTAAAATCAATTAGCGTTGTCCAAGTGGAAGAATGTTGAAAATTTTTTAATGGGCTATTGCTAATTGTATTTGATTATAGAAATTGGGTCAAATGAAAAACTGATAAAGTCCAATAAAGTTATGTAATCTAAGTGGGATTAGGTTTTATTTCAGTTTTATATGGGAGTGTCCAAAAGATTATTATAATAGACAAGGTCTCCTCTTCCATTCAGAAAACTCTACCTCCAATATTTTGAAAATCGAACCAAAGGTCAAACCATTTTGACCTCTGGTTCTCGATTCAACCAGTTTAACTAATTAGACTGTGCAAACCACCGAGTCAATTGAATATGAATAAATATAATATTATGTTAAAATTTGACACAACACAAGCAATGGTCTTATTGGTCCGTCATTTTGCACTTGGTGGAAAAGACACAAGTTTGAGTCCTCTGCAAAAATGTAATTATTTTGTTTTTAACCCCTAATTTATAATATGTTAGTGGATTTTTTTCTACATAGAAGGTACATCAAATATAAAATTTTAAATTATTTTATAAAAATGTTTAAAATTAACTTTAAATTAATTACAATCAACTAAAATAATTTTTGTAAATATCAATTTTTATAATTTTTATATAAATTAATTATAAA